ATGGTAAGGACAAAAATAACTTCGTTTTAACGATAAAGGTATATTTCAACTAATAAAACAAAGTTAAGGAGTATTTTTGACCATTTTCATTTTTCAACTTTGCCTTTAATTCTATTTTCTTTACGTTTTTTCATTTCTTTTTCTTTTATCATCCCCCCTCCCCTCTCATCAACACCCACCCTCCCTATAAATCTCCATTCCCATTGTTGAACCACTATCACCATAGCAGCTCCATTTCCTCACCCATCTCTTAATAATTTTTCATAATTTATCTTACTAAATAATTCACATCCATTAACCATCAAAATCATTAAACAATTATAAAGACTACTATTATTTATGTAGTAAAAAAATAAATTAAAGTCATTAATTTTCTTGCTCAGACAAATATTATCAACCTCCAGATTTTATTTTTAGTTTTTATTAAAGGCCGATGAAGGAATCTAACCTACACATGATAAAAATTTCACGAAGTTGAGCAACAACAATCAATTGATTCTATACAATCCCAATAATTCAGTAGTTTCCTTTAATGTAGAAGGCGTAAATCCTCCACTATTTAAACAATTAATAAAAAGGCGTATTTAGCCTCAATTTTAAGACGATTAGCGAGAACTTCAAACTTGAAATTGGAGTTACAATTGTGAAATTTGAGTGGGAGAGGTGAAAATGGAGGTTTAAATAGTTCATTAAGAAGTTATTGTGGAGTTGCTGATGAATATTAATACTTTTTATTTTATTTTTTAATTTAAATATTGATACTTAATTTGTGGAATATAGAAGGTGTGAGTGGAGGTGGAGAGAGATAAAGATTTTGGGGAGTTACAGTGAAAAAAATTGAAGCATGAATTCGAACAAAGTGAGGTGGAAGAAGACGATGAAGAAAATAAATATAACTATATTTTTTATATATATGTGATATTTGACCGCTGGCAAGGCGTGATGCACACTACATAAAAATAATGTGGCTCTAGTCTTAGGGTTGTTTATATTTTGTTTTATAATAGTTTAAGGGAGGGTAGTAGGGCTCCCGTAAATTATAAAGGGCAACTTTCACATATAGCAAACAAAAAATTCATATTTGTATGTTATAACAAAGTTTGTATAATTACGCTCCATAGAAAACATAAAACTGTATAATTCGCTACACATATACAATTGTATAATTCGCTGGACTAAATTGTATAACTCGCTGATCTCGCTATACATATACAATTGTATGATTCGCTAGCCTAAATTGTATAATTCGCTGGCCTATTTTGCTGTAATTGTATGATTCGCTATCCTATTTCACTGCAATTGTATAATTCGCTGCCTGTTTCGCTGCAATATTTGTATAAAATTTGTTTTGTATATAATTGAATTGAAGTAAAATGTATGTACATTGTATATTATAAGTGTATAGGAAGAATATATATGTTTTTCTCTCGCTTTATACAAAAACAGAAATACAATTTATACACTTCTGTTGTATAAAGCCAGAGAAAATTGTATTTCACTGCAATTGTATAATTTACGATTGTATAATTCGTTGACCTTTTTTGTTGCAATATTTGTATAAAATTTTCATTTGTCTACAATTGAATTGAAGTAAAATGTTTGAATATTGTATAATTAAGTGTATAGCATGAATATTTATGTTTTTGCATGTGTGTATACAATTTTCTCTCGCTTTATACAACACAGAAACACAATGTACACTGTGTATAAAGCGAGAGAGGCGAGCAGAGGGAGAGTGGCGAGCGAGAATGAGAGAGTGGTGAGCGAGATTTTTGAAAGAGAGGCGACTGGCAAACTTTGGCTGACGTTTGTTATGGAGCACAATTAAATCGAACCGTAGTTACTCCATTTATTTTAGATTATTAGTTTGCTATTATATACAATTATTCCAATTATAAATCTGTAGTTGAGAATTCAACTATTGATTAGAGGGTCATTTGACCATTTTGTCAAAAAGAGATTTAAGTATACTTTTTATTTGTGTGATCAAGTAAAACTTTAAAGTGTTAATTGAATAGAAATTTTCAAAAAAAATTCGAAATTGACACCAACTACAAATATTTTCATTGAAATATTAACATTCAGTATGCTAAATTTATAAGGTTAAACACTATCATTAAATTGAATACAAAACAAAGAATTACAACATAGATTGTAAACTTGCGGGAAAATGCATAAGTACCCCATCAATCTATGCCTGAAATTTCAGAGACACACTTATACTATACTATACTAAGGTTCTATTACCCCCTAAACTTATTTTATAAATAATTTTCTACCCCTTTTCGGCCTATGTGACACTAGTTTGAAAAAAATATCAACACACGCTGGGCCCATAAGATAGTGCCACATAGGCCGAAAAGGGGTAGAAAATTATTTATGAAATAAGTTCAGGGGATAATAGAATCTTAGTATAGTATAAGTGTGTCTCTGAGATTTCAGGCATAGGTTGAGGGAGTACTTGTGTATTATCTCTTAACTTGCGATTATGGCTATTTTTCTTCTTTCTTTTTTTTTTGAAAAACTACAGAATATAGCAAACATCAATTAATATTTAATGTATATAGCTACAATATAATTTTTTTTATGCTACATGAATATACTTACATATTAATTAGCAAGCTTAAATTTGAATTGTCAGTTTTTTTTTTAGTTTTTTTATATGTATATAAATAATTATTACTAAATAGGAAAGATATCACTATACACCTAATAAATGCAATATGCATGTTTTATGGGGCTATGGTCCCCGTACTTACCTAGTTACCTTATTCAATGTTTTTCTCTTTCAATATACATGTATTAATGTCTTTTTTTTAATTATTATTTACCCTCTATTTTCCTTCTAATTCAAGATAATTTGCATGATTATATGAACGATTTTTGTAATTCATCTTTGTTGGATATTTTCTAATTGAATTTTTTTTATCATTTATATGAAGTTTATATTTGTATACATATATATGTTTTTCAATTTTTGTAGGATTTTGTTTGAAAAAGTTATTTTCATTGTCATTCAAATGCATAATTTAGTTATGTCAAAAATTCACTTTGATATAAATAACGTTATACATGAATACATTTCATTCTCTTAATACACACATATAATTGTATTTGAATATTGAACACAATAGAATCCATATACATTTGAATACTTGTTATTTTTCATGGATTGTCCAATTAGAAATGCAAGTGCGTTTAGATACATTAATACATTATAAAGATTTGAATGTATATGTATACAACACATCTTTTTTTTTTTTAACACAGAGTGAAATACATATACATTTGGATAATCATATTTTGACATAGTTCATTGTCATTTTTTCCCCCAGATTATCCAATTGTATTGATATATTAACACAATTGTATTGAACAATCTTAGAGATACAATTATGCTTATCGTGTATTTGAATCGAAACAAACAAAATTCATTCACAATTACAATAAATCAATTTAACTAAAGAAATGTAAGTAAAATACCTTTACATTTGAATAAAAACAATAGTGACAATGAAAATTTGTACACGACGTATCCAATTTTTTTAAAAAAGTAATTGGAATTCGAAAGTATACACATTGACTATGTAACCATTAGTTGTTAATGTAATAATGAGAAGTTGAGAATTTCAGCACATTATTAAAGGGATTCAGTTACCTTATTTGATTCACTATAATTCTAATGATATCACTGTATAATTCAAAAAAACCCATAAATACAGCTAGATATTCATATAAAGTATAGTCATTTATAGTAAATAACATACTTATAACTATTGAACTTGATTAACCCTATAAATATAGTAATTTATGTAAGTTGCTCTTTTTTTTTTTCAAACCTAAGTCAACTAAATCAAATCACAAATCGAGTTTTTTCTTAGGTTTGTCTTGTTTCATCGATTCGATTTGACTTGTACACTCCTATATTTGATATATCGTCAATATAAGACTCTAAAATTCAAATACTTTTTTACTTTCTTAAACTCTGTGTCAAATCAAGATAGACCAAAAAATAAAACGGAGGGAGTAGCTCTAAACCATTGATCTTCTTTTTTCTTCAAAAAAACTACCTAATTACACAATATTTCTATCATATTTTGCTTATTTTCTTTTATAATTTGAAATAATTACATATTATCTCAATAATTAATAATTTTAATTAACATACACTTAAACATATTTATCTATCATTTTGTTTGGGTGGTTGTTACATGTTGTTTCTAATGGATCGTATTGCATTCTAACAATGTGATTACATTAAAAGTCATTCCATAAAATAAATCTTTTTTGTTACTTAACTATAGATTTAATCAATCTAAGTAATAAAATTTAAGTAACAATCAAAACAAACATTATACTTAAACTAACCATATAATACAATACAACGGGTACAACCATTCAAATTACATATAATTTTGACTTATGTATCTCAAGTACCTATAAATGAGAATCAAAATTTGGAATAAATGATAATTTAAGAAAAACACGCAAAAATATGTAATTAAGCTCTAAACTAGTGAAATTTGAGGCTTTTCGCCAAAGAGAAATATACAAAATTTTCCATAATAAAATTCTTCCCTATGGATTTATTGTTTGCCAGAAGTAGAAGAGAAATAAACAAGTTAGGCATAAAAAAAAGCGACAATGCTGAATGCTTCTTCTGTTTGCTAGTATTAATTTACAGGCAAATGTCAAATCCAGTTGTATAGTATACTCTTTGTGGAAGAGTTGAAATTTAGCAGAAAAATCCAGTACTACTCTGCGTCTGCAATGCTAACATCTTTCTCAGCCGGAGCTGGTGGAGCTACGCCGCCGGCATTAACCAATTTGAAATGGTTGAATTCGAGGCGTTTAACGATCTGGGCTGGCTGTGATTTTCCGGAATTTCTACCTAAACAAGTTGAAAATATCAAAGACCCGTATGCTAGAAAGTTGGCTTCACGAATTGAGAGAATACCAGTACGTTTTTTCCACTCTCTTTTTAAAATGTGTGTATTTTTTCTTTTAGTGGGTGTGAAGCTGATTTCCGTTGTTTTCGATGTGTTTGAAGTATTGGAATCAATGGGTGTGAAATCTGTACTTTTTGTTGAAATGGGTTTGTGCTGATTGGTTAAAAAATCGTTTCTTTTGATAAATTTAGGATCTAATATCAGTAGATTAAGACTTGCATCATGCATGCAAGATCTTATGGATGGGGTAAAGGTTGGGGTAATGTTTGTTTTCATCCTATACTGGCCGGACTTTATTTGCGGAATTACACTGAGTTTGTTGCTGTTGTTGGTGGTGGTGGTGGCAGCGGTGATCGTGGTCGTATCACCTTGTGTGCACGGGGTACTTACTACCTCTCGCGTGTGTATTGGATAATTTTGTGACTTTGGCAAATGGGATGTTATGATGTCTATGCCTGAGGATGTCAGACATGGATGGGGTGTGTGTTGGAGGACAAGGAGGAGTGGATAACCACTTATGGAACTCGTTTTTGTAGTGAAAATATTTTCCTAAAATTTTAACCAACCAAATATGGAAAATTGGAAAAGGGAAAACATGTGAAAGTTTTACAGATATGACAGGAAGAAGTGTTGGATGTTGGGAAGGAGAGAATACTTTCTATTTGGTCATGGTTGTTTAGGAATACGGCAGATGTGCATCCAAGATTTTGAGACTGGTATGTTTACTACTGCACCTACTTGTTTGACAATGCATGGGGAATTAATATGAAGATACATTGTTAGAATCTTTTCGGATATATCACACACAATAACTAGATGAATGCCGCGGGGGTGGATATTACCATTGCTGTGATGAAGGTGTTTGCCCACGATCCACAAGTTAATCAGTCTTCTTGTATGAAATATGTATTTTCTTTTTAATCGTAAACTCAGGGATCTAAATATTTTGCTTCCCCTGTTTTGTATTGATTTATCTAAATATCTGCTTCTCCTGGTTCATTTAGGTAAACTTTTCAAAGGGTTGTGTCATGAGTAGTTGTGTGAAGCCAAAAGAACAGAAAGAGGCCAATCCAGTTGTACTTCTCCATGGTTTTGATAGGTATGCCTCGTGCTATCCTAATAGTATTGATCACTTTCTCTTGCTGTGTTCTGCTGTTCATTATACCTCATTGTTCAGCACATGTTTAGAGTGGAGGTACACGCTTCCATTGCTTGAGGAGGCTGGTTTGGAGACCTGGGCAGTTGATATCCTTGGATGGGGTTTCTCTGATCTAGGTATATTGTTTTGTTCAAGCACTTTCGCAATATTCATTTTTCAAAAAGATTTTGCGAACAAAGACTCAGGATTTGCTCATAGTTTCATCCCTTTATGTTTTCTTGTGATTTTTAAGGAAGGCTTCCTTCGTGTGATGTAGCTTCCAAGCGTGATCATCTTTACCAGGTACCTACTGATTTTGTCGAATATATGTTCTAATCTAGTGTTCAAAACAGCCTCTCTACCCCACTTAGGTAGGGGTGAGGTCTGTGGTGCCCCTTACCCTCACCCTCCCCAGACCCCAATTATAGGACCACATTGGGTATGTTGTTGTATTTGTTCTAATCCAGTGCATACAAACTTGAAAGGCTGGAATTAGTCTCTTTTATAGCAAATCCTAATAAATGTAAAAGTAGCTTATACACGAGTAAGCCACAAGTGGTGCTTGGGGAGGGTGGTGTGTACACAGCCTTACCTCTACGGTAGAGAAGAAGTAGCCTATATAAGTACAGAATTAAGTTAACAGTCACATTTAATTAGCTTGAGTAGTGAGGCTTAGTAAATTGGACTTAATATGCAGGGTTAGGTTCTACAATTACACTTTGTTCAGTAGTATAATATGATATCACAGTTATGTAGCATCATAGAGGAGCTCTCTTACTCGATAGAGACCCAACTTAGGAATGATGGTGTAATGTTTACTTCGATTAAGTTTATCTGGGAAATAAGACCCAACTTATGAATAATGGTGTTAACGGTTCTTCTTTTATCTTTTCTTTTTTTCAAAAAAAAAAAAAAAAGAAAAAAAGAACCGTTGACACGTTTTCTAACTTTTCACTCTCATTTTTCTTTCAGCTGTGGTCTACCTACATTAAGAGGCCAATGGTGCTTGTCGGTCCGAGTCTTGGATCTGCTGTTGCTATTGACTTCTCTGTCCACTATCCAGAAGCTGTAAGTATGTTCAATGACTGTGAATTCCTATCCAGATTTTATAGATTTGTTTCTACTTTCTACTATTAAGGAGGAATCATTTTATTGCTAACTCCGAAGTACTTATACTTCATAGGTGGATAGGCTGGTTTTAATAGATGCAAGTGTTTATGCGGAAGGTACAGGAAAGCTCGCAACATTACCCAAAGCAGTAGCTTATGCTGGGGTGAGTCTTCCCCTAGTCCTCTCAAATAAAGAGATGCATTCTACTCAACTTTGACCATTTGATGTAACTGAACATCTTTATCATAAGGATTGTTGCTTCACCAATAACTTGGTTTATGATTAGCTTTAAATAAAAACGAGAGAGGCTTCTTACCTATTCATTAATTGATCCAAGATTAGCAATTTAGCATCCCTTGTATACTGAGGCTCTTTGTTGGTCAGATCTTTCCCTTAGTGCTGCAAAACACCAAATGAAGAAAGAACCTGTTCTAGATACATGGGGGACTACTACACGAAGGGATATATTCTGATCCAAATCATAGATACAACATGTTTTAAAATATGTTTACAGCATTCTTCTAGTATCTTCCATCTATGATTTTTCACTATTATGACAAAAACCTGTTGCAGGTCTACTTGTTGAAAAGCATACCACTTCGCTTATGTGCAATATCATTGGCTTTCAATGGCTTACCATTAAGTACATGTATAGACTGGACTAATGTAAGTATTAACACTCTGATCTTTAAGAAACCTGAATGCGTGAAGCTCAGATGTTTAAAAGGTGTCTCTGCACTACTTGTTTTATCAAACCTTTTGATTACATGATTTCATATCCAGATAGGTCGTTTACATTGTTTATTACCTTGGTGGGAGGATGCTACAGTGAATTTCATGATCAGCGGAGGTTACAACGTCATTGATCAGATAAAGCATGTATGTGGAAATTTACTACTAAATAATCTTAATGGCTTCTTATCCACCTTTATTACTTTCTTTTATCATCACTATGTTAACAAGCAACATTTTCTTGCTGTAAAAGATTTGGAGAAATAATGTGAAATGTTGGGTCGATATACAAAAACTCTTGCTGTAAATGATTTGGAGAAAAAGATGTGAAATGTTGGAGTCTATATACAAAAACTCATGCCAAATGGTCTTGTCTGTCCATCATATTGGCATACTGTGAAGTTCACCTGTTTTCTTCAGCCACAACTATTAGGTGGAAACCATGCCACTTGCTTCAAATAGTTCCTCTTTTCTATCCAATTAATTATCAGTTTTTGTTTTTTTGGTTGTCCCAAATGATATCAATTTTGAAGGAAAAAGAAAGTCTCCTATATACTTATCACATAGACAAAAGCTTGCTTATGTCAGATTTTTTCCCATTAGTACAACATTGTACATTTTCAATTTCACCAAAACTGCTATGATATGAAAAAACAAAATTGAAAAAATCCAGGGTTAATGCTATCTCCTGTTTAATTTTGCATGTGTTCAAGTTTCTAGGAGCTCCTGAGTAAAGATATGGTGAATCATCAATTATTTGCTCATGGTGTTGCTTAAAATTTGGTTTATTAGATCTGTACTATCATGAATCTCCAATTTTTTGTGGGTAACTTAGGAATTATTGATTGCTTTTCCCGGAAAGGTTAACTCTTGTCCCTGTGAAAAATTCGTCACCATTCTCATGCGAGGAGTTCCGTCATACAGGTCAAGCAAAAAACACTAATTATATGGGGCGAAGATGATCAGATTATTGACTACAAGCTTGGAGTGGTACGTTTCTTTCAAATTTTGGAAATATATTACTAACCTATTAGCTCCTAGCAGCCAAATATGCAGTAAACGGAGTAACTGAAGTATCCATTGACTTTTATGTGCTCAGCGATTGCATTGTGAAATTCCAAGTGCGAAGCTACGCCAAATACCCCAGTGTGGCCATATTCCTCATGTGCAGAAGCCTGATGTTGTCTCTAGGTTGATCACGGAATTTGTTCAGTCTGATCAATCACAAAGGACGAAACCTAACACTGTCTCCACCATCTCTTTTCCTGTGATTACTGGTACTTGTAAAAGCGGATGTTTAGCATATCCAAATTGACTTTCTGGTTCAACATAGTGATGAGGTTTGTTTGCCAGCTTCAATGATGAACTATGATTTCATTCTTTAAGCAATGTCGGCAATATTACCAACATAGGGAAGGTGCTTTGGCGTCCAGTTCCAGTGTAACAAACTGAACACTTGAGCAATCAGCTAACTACTTCAGCATTCTGGTACATATTTCTTTCAGTTTTACTTCAATACCCAGAGCTAGAGTTTATCGCCAGTGAGGCATAGCCTGGATAAGCCTTAGTAGGCTGAGTTACTCAAAACCTTTGCTGGTTGGAGGTAGCAGCTGAGGGAATATTCGAGGAGCACGCAAGCTGGCAAACGCCATAGTTATGATTTTTTTTAGCTTGGGGCAGTTGTGAACTTTTGTTGTGTAATATTCTCTTAAATTATCTTAGTTGAGGCATACTGTTAGATGGGAAGTTAGTTGAATGATATATGTTACTAGTATTTGTCATCTTTTTGTTAAAAGAATAAGCTTTTCTGCACTAATGGTTGCATGGTTTCCTATTTTTTGTGCCATGTTCATGTTTCCAGATGATTTCTCTATTTTCTTGTGACGTGGACATACTCAGTATAATTCCACCAGTGAAGTCTGAAGAGGGTAAGTTATACAATTTATATGTCATACCTTTGTGGGTAGATAGTTTATTTCCGATAAATCCTCGGCTCAAAGAGCAGTTACATGGAGCAGGGTTATTAGAAGAATATGATAACAAAGTATTAAATACAAAGCAAATGAAGCAACAAATAAGATAAAAGATATTATAACGATAGATCCTTAACTCAAAAGAAAAGTTACTTTAGAGAGATACAAGAAAATTATGACAGTAAATGTCGAGATAAAAAGTCGATAAAGCAACATATATTACTCCATAGTGAAGATGTTGAGGGTCTCCATTACTAGGAGTAGAAAAGCTTTAGAGAATATTTAGGATAATGAATATTGATCTATATCATTCAATCTGTGTGAAGAGCTGTATATCCACAAACTGATAAAAGAAAAGAGAAAAAAATAACTAACTAAGATTCCTTTTCCCTAATTAACTTGTAACTAACTTCTGTAACTATCTCAAATACAATCAATTAATTATTTACATTGCTTATTTTCATAATCTCAACACTCCCTCTCAAGCTGAGAAGTGGAAAATATATTTTTCATTCCAAGTTTGTTAATTAGCAATTCATGTCGAGGCTTGCACAGTCCTTTAGTGAGTATATCTGCTTGTTGCTCCTTAGTTCCTATGTGTTTAGTCTGAATGAGTCCCTCCATGATCTTCTCCCTTACAAAGTGACAGACTATATCAAAGTGTTTTGTTCTTTTGTGAAAGTTAGGATGTGCTGCTATTTGGATAGCAGTTTTACTATCACAAAACAGTTGAACAGACAGCTTAACTTTACTCCCAATTCCTTGAACAATCCTTTCAGCCAAACTATCTCAGCTACTGTGGTAGCCATACTTCTGAACTCTGCTTCTGCAGAACTTCTTGACATTGTGTTTTGTTTCTTTGCTTTCCAAGACACCAAAGCATTTCCCAACTTGACTATGTCGCCAGTCACTGATTTCGTGGACTCTATACATGCTCCCCAGTTTGAATCACAGTAAGCTACAAATTCAGACACATTGTTGCTTGGCATGAACAAACCAAGACCTGTTGTACCTTTTATGTATCTTACCACTCTAAGTGCTGCTTCCATATGAGAATTTTTTGATGAGTGCATATATTAACTAAGTGCCTACCTACCAATCTTTGATATTTTCCATAATCATCAAGAGCTTTATCTTCTGTATTTATTCCTATGCATTCATCAAACACAATGGATGTCAACTTGTGATTGAACTCTAAGGGAGTGGATGCAGGTTTACACCCTGCAAGTCCAAGTGCATACTTTCTCTCTGATTTATAAGAATGCCATCTGTATTTCTGAAAAATTCAATTCCAAGAAAATATTTCAACTCTCCAAGATCCTTCATTTTGAACCTGTGTTGTAAGTCTTTTCTAACTTGTTGTATGAGATTTAAGTTGCTATCAGTGACCAAAAGATCATCTACATATACAAGTATGACAAAAAATTCTTTCCCTACTCTCTTTGTAAACAATGAATAATCATAATGAAATTGCAAGAACCCCATATCAATCAGTGCTTCAGTAAGTTTTAGGTTCCATTGTTTAGGGGCTTGCTTCAGTCCATATAAAGACTTGTGAAGCTTGCAAACCACGTGTTTCTCCCCCTGGTTTGCAAAACCCTTAGAAATTTGCATGTAGACCTCCTCAGAAAGATCACCTTGTAGAAAGGCATTAAGGACATCCATCTGAAATATATACCAACCAGCAAGGGCAATAACAGACCTGACAGTAACATTTTTGCAATAGGAGAAAAAGTTTCAGTGAAATCTAAGCCTTCTTGTTGATTATATCCCTTAGCAACAAGCCTTGCCTTGTATCTCTCAACCTCCCCTGAAGTTTTGTATTTAATCTTAAACACCCATTTACAACCAATAGCAACCTTAGCAGTAGGAAGAAGAACAATAGATCAAGTTCCATTACTTTCAAGAGCAGTAATTTCATCCTGCATAGCAGCCACCCAAAAAGGATCTTGACATGCTTCTGAGTATGTATGAGGTTCTAAAATGCTAGAATAAGTAGCAAGAGAGACTCTATAGGTAGAGGATAAGGCTGAATATGAAACATAGTTTGAAATAGAATATAGGGATGCATTTTTGGTTGTGGGAGTAACATAGAAGTCTAGCCAAACAGGAGGTTTAGACTGCCTAGAGGATCTCCTAGGAGGAGCAACAAATGGAACAACTCTTTCAGAATCACTGACTTCAAAAGAAACAATAGTTCTAACAGATGTAGGAAACTGAGAAGAAGAAGGTGAACTAGGAGTAGATAACTCAGGATCTAAATCAGCAGGAAGAGTAATAATAGGAAACAAAGAATCAAGATAAGATTTGAGATTTTTGAAAGAAAATATCTCTTTTTTGAACACAGTTCTCTACTTACAAAGAAGATTTTGGAGCTGAAATCATATAAGATATACCCTTACTGAGTAGAAGAATAACCCATATGAATAGCAGGGATAGCTCTAGGGGCAAACTTATCAAGTCTTTTGGGGTCAGTAGCATAACATAAAGAACCAAGAACTCGCACATGACTAAGAAAAGGAGCATGACCATATAACATCTCATATGAAGACTTGCCTTTGAGTAAGTTGGTAGGTAACCTATTAAGAATGTATACTGCTGCATACACACACATACCCCAAAATATAATAGGAATACAAGCCTGAAAACTTAAGGCTCTAGCCATGTCAAGAATGGATCTATGCTTCCTCTCAACTACATCATTTTGTTGAGGAGAATGAACATACGAACTTTGATGCAAAATCCCATGCTCTCTAAATAAAGCATTTACTTTGGGAACTAAAAAATTCTGTTCCATTATCTGATCTTATACACTTGACAATGGTTCCAAACTGAGTCTTGACCATACAGATAAAATCTCTCAACAAGACAATATAATAAGACTTAGTGTGCATTAAGGAAATCCAAGTATATTTGGATTTGTCATCTACCAGTGTTAAAAAATACCTTTTCCCACCATTGTTAGGAACCCTATAGGGTCCCTATACATCAACGTGCACTACGTCAAAACAAGCATTAGACAGAGACACACTTGTAGGAAATGGTAATTTTATTTGCTTTGCAATAGGACAAACAGTACAATTGTGGTCATTCATAGGTCCATTCTGTAAACATTGTATTCTACCGAGAACTGTGAAAGGGGCATGCCCAATCTCTTATGCCAAAGATAATTTAGTGAACAAACAGAAGTAAAGCTGATAGGAGAACTGATACATGAAATCCTAGTAATATTGTCTTGTAAAGTACTTGATTGTAGCTCTGTATTGAGAAGATATAAACCTTGATCTTCCTTACCAATCCCAGGACCCTCCCACTGAAGAGATCATGAAAGATACAGAAGTTAGGGAAAAATATTACTGCACACTTTAGTTGTTTAGTTAGTTGGAGACAAATAATAGGTCATACTGAAAATCTGGGATAAAGAGAACATCCTTCACTAGTTTATCCTTAAGAACTAGTGAATCTCCAACATGACTAATAGCCACCTGAGCACCAGTAGAAAAATTTACTTTCATATCACTTTTAAATCCAAGGTCTGTACACTGTTTCATAAGAATCAAACTGTGAACCATATGGTTTGAGCACCTGTATCTATAATCCAGTTGGAATGAACCACATCAGATGTGAGAGCTATAAAAGTACCTGATGAACTTGCAGTTGCAACATTTGCCATCTTGCAGTTGCAACATTTGCCATAAAATCTGCTTCCTTGCCTTTTCCTTTGCTCAACATATGTATAATCTGATTGTATTGTTCATTTGTAAAGAGTGACATGCCTTGTGTATTTAGTGAGAGATTGTTAGGAGAGGTACCATAGGACTTAGCATTAGTACTTACAGAGGAATCATCATAGGCTCCACTTTCAGGAAGCTGATGTCCTCCAGTAGCAGCACTGTTAGCATGAGAAGAAGATCCTCTTTTCTTCTTAGGATATCCATGAAGCTTATAACAAGACTCATTTGTATGTCCTCTATAATGACAATAGTCACAGTAAAGATTTGATCTTCCTCCTTGTCGTGCATCACCATTATTTCTAGGTCTATAACCACCCTTTCCGTTAGAGCCATTGCTAGGATAGTAAGCAGGACTTGAACTAGGACCACTACTGTTAAGATATCCACCACCATGACAACACATCATGTTACTAATAAGAGTAGTTTCTGAGAAAGATTCTGTAGAAGAGGAACTACTACTAACACCATCACTCTTTGACTTTCTACATTTATAATCATAGTATAGGCTTGATTAACATTTGGTACAGGAATTTGCATTAACACTTGACTCTTAGCACGAGCATAAGACTCATTTAGACCCATCAGAAATTGCCACAACTTTTGAAATTGAAAATGATCAGCATACTGTTTGGATTCTGGACATGCACAGAAGGAAGGTGGTATAAGTGTTTCAAATTCATCCCAAATCTCTCTAAGCCGGGAAAAATAATTCTATACAGAAGAAGTTCCCTGATACAATGTAACAGTCTCCTTGTGAAGATAGAATGCCCTAGATGAATTAACCTTATCAAACCTTTCTCGAAGATCCTCCAAACAGTTGTGCATCAGATCTATAAATCATAGTGCTAACTAGACTTTTAGACACAATATTCATAATCCAACCTAGAACAATAGCATTGCATCTCTCCCATTGATCATGCATGGAGGGAGGATACATGTCCTTAGTATAAGTTCCTAACAAGAAACCTAGCTTATTTTTACCAAGTAACACAAGCTTCAAAGATTTGCTCCATAACGAGTAATTTTCAGAACCTAGAAGTTGAATTGAAATAAGCATAGAACCTTGAGTATCGGAAGGATGGATATACAGAGGATGATTGTGATTGATTGAAGTAGAACCTTGAACTTCAGCAATAACAACAGATTTATCCTCAATTGCCATTACGAAGAATCACTGTAACGAGAAGATGAACACGATCTTCAATTTAAGGCAAACAGAGAAGAAGAAGAAGAAAATCTAGCAGAGGATTACAACGAAATTCCTACTGCTATGATACCATGTTGAGAATCTCCATTAATGGGAGTAGAGAAGCTTTAGAGAATATTTGGGAGAATGAATATTGATCTATATCATCCAATATGTGTGAAGAGTTGTGTGTATATATACACAAACTAATAAAAGAAAAGAGAGAAAAAAAAGTAACTAACTAAGATTCCTTTTTTGTGACTAACTTGTAACTAACTTATGTAACTAACTATCTCAAATACAATCAATTAATTATTTATATTGCTTATTTTCATAATCTCAACAGTAGAAAAAAAAACTAGCGGACCACTTAAATACCATTACTAGTGAAGCGAGAGGAAATTTGAAATAATACTCAACTATCTACTGACATTTCAAGTAATGTGATAACGTGTATAATAAACATGAAAATTTCGCAATTTTATAAAAATTAATCAATTTTTAAACTCTTCTTATAAGCTAATCATATATTATTATAAGCATGAAGGTCAAAACTTAAAAGTTGAATTACCATTTTAGCCTTATACTTAATTAAAATATTATAAAATAATTAATTAATTAAATATTAAATATGTTTAAATTGTTAATTAAGTTGATTCACTTATTGTTAAAATAATGTAGGAGAATGAATAGCTGTAAAAATAATTAATTATAAAGTTATTACGAAAACGTATTAGAGAAACTTTTCATTTCTCTATCTGATCAGTTTTAGGTGTAATTTTGTCATAATGTGTATTAATACCACATCTCCACTATCTCATCATTAATATTCACACCTTCATAATCTTTCCACACTCTCAAGAAGTTGATGGCACTTCTTGGATCACTTAATATGTAATGTTTTTATCTTCTATTAGCAGATTCTCTATTTTCCTATATTATATATTATACTTTCTCATGTAATCATGTTATCTTTATTTTTTTTTATATGAGTTTGTTATGCTCAATGTTTTATATATCTTTATTTGAACTCATCTAAATTGTTGAATATTTCAACTACTAATAAATTTTTTAAATTTGACTTTTTTTTTTATGAAGATACAATTAAGAAATGACGCTAATATTTCATAGTGATGATGCAGTAAGTGAAGCAACACAGATTGAACTGTTTCAAGTGGTATCAATTTTCAGGTAATGAATCATTGTTCCTTATATGCAATTAATAATTTTTGTGTAAGTTGATATGTTCTTAATAAAATTTTGGTTTGATTTTTAAATAAAATTTAGTTTATAGAAGTTGAGACGGTACACTTAATTGGATTATCCAAAAAAGGAATCTTTTACACAAGGACAAGAAGAAAGACTTCTAGCTTTATCACTGCATTCATGACAATCAATGGAATATCCTACAAGACAAAAAGTTGATGTGATTCTGTACAAGTGAATCCAACTCACTAAAAAAAAAATTAAAGAAAGAAAAAAATGAACATGAAGAGAATAAAAATGAAGATAAAGAGAATCAATGGTGTCTTATAAGTTGATGAACCACTGTAACTTCATTATTTTTTGAATTTACGAGGAAATGAATTATTGAAGAAATTTGTGAAATGTACATATATACCTTTGGGTCGGTAACAAATGTGATTGAAAGTAGTATTTTTTCATGCATAATAGCTAATTCTTGATATATATATTGTTTAAATTTATTATTTGCACTACAAACATTGTATGAAGTATTTTAGGATAAACGTGCAAAGCACGTTTTCGGAAACTGGTTATAATAAATAAATGTTGGCGTTATCTTGGCGCCACATGATTGGATAAATATTATATGGGCGCCTTTTGGTGTTCTTTCTCTTCTCAGTATGAGTAGTAGAAAAACCGGTGGCCACCGTGCACGGCTGAGCGACTGAGAAACAAAGAATATGCTGACATTTTTCTCAGCCGGAACCGGTGGTGCTCCTCCGCCAGCATTTCTACTAACTGGAACCAATTTGAAATGCTCTTATTCGAGGCGTTTAACGATCAGGGCAGGTGAATTTCCGGATTTTCTTCCTATACAAATCGAGAATATCAAAGACCCTTATGCTAGAAAGCTGGCTTCACGAATTGAGAGAATACCAGTAAGTTTTTTATTGCTGCTGTCTTTTTTGGGGTTAATTTCTAGATAGTTTTCTGTGTTTTCTCAAGCAAGTAGTAGAATTTTTTAAGTGCATTAAGAATTGTGATTCAATTGGGGGAAAATTCTCTACTTTTTATGAAATGGGTTCTGTTCTGATGAGTAAAGTTTTGTTCTTTTGGATTATATTATCACAGAGGTAGAAAAATCGAAATAAGGAAGTAAAGAATGTTTTTGAATCTTGTGGTTTCAAGCTAAAAATATGCTGAATGTACAAAAAAAAATGTCACTTAATCTTATAAAGTTGAAATTAAAGTTTTCATATTCTTTTTGAAACGGAAGTAGAAATTTAGAACCTAAAATCAGTAGCACAAGATTTGTGCATGGATGCAGGTACTCATTGCAGCTATAGGGGTTACCTTTATGTCTCTGCATGTCGATGTTAGATATGGATTAGGTTACAAGGAACGATAGAACTCTTATTTTTACTTTTTTATCTTCTTAAATTGTTCTCATTCCAGCTCATTTTATGACTGTATTTAATTGAACCTAGAATCTGAAGATGCTAATTTGACTTAAATATTTTTTGGCGGTAGTGCAAGAAGATAATTCAGTAATTGTTAAAAAGTTGTTTTGATTTAGGTAACATCCCAGTCTGTAATTTAGATAGCTCAATGAACTTTATTTCTTGAAAGCAGTATAGAAGTGGCATGGTATCAAACATTTCAGGACATCCCTAAAATGGAAAGAGTATCATATATTTGGGATATCCATGATTTTAAGACTTTGGGTGCAGACTACTACTGGACACTACTTTGTGATGATGTGTGCTGACTTAGAATGAGTGTTATCTCTTATAAGTATTCCCCTGTTCACACACACAGTTGGAACAAAATGGAGCGGGTGTGAGTGCACCCATTGCGGTAGTGTACCCGCTGTCATAGAGGTGTCCACTCATCATATGCAACTTAATCATTCTTTTCTTTTATGTATTCTGTTCTTATAATCCTAACAAAGTCACATATCTAGATATATTGCACTGGATCGAATCAATTAACTCTTTCTTTATAAAGTTCTGGGTACTGCCTTTGTTTGATGGTCCAGCTTCATTGCTGGTTCATTTTAGGTAAACTTATCGAAGGGATGCATCATGAGTAGTTGTGTGAAGCCAAAAGAACAGACAGAGGCCAATCCAGTTGTGCTTCTCCATGGTTTTGATAGGTGTGCCTCATGCTACGCTATGAATTTTGATCACTTTCTCTTGCCATGCTCCTGTTGTTCATTATGCCTCATTGTTCAGCTCATGTTTAGAGTGGAGGTACACTCTTCCAATGCTTGAGGATGCTGGATTGGAGACATGGGCAGTTGATATCCTTGGATGGGGTTTCTCTGATTTAGGTATGTTATATCTTGTTATAGCTTTTTCTCAGTTCTTTATTTTTCAAAAAGATTCTGCAAACAAAAACGAAGACTTGCTCATGGTTTGTATTTTTTGTTTCCTGTGATATTAAGGAAGGCTTCCATCGTGTGATGTAGCTTCCAAGCGTGATCATCTTTACCAGGTACGTACTGATTCCGGAATATATGTTCTAACCTAGTGCATACGAACTTTGAAAGGTTGGAATTAGTATCTTTCAACTTTCATTACACATTCTGATAAATGTGAAGTTACATCTAAGTTCAAAATTAAGGTAAATCTCTCAATCTTTTTTCCTAGTAGTGTAACTATAATACTTATGCAGGGTCATGTACATAGTTATGCCTCATTGTGCATTGTGCAGTGGTATGATATTACAGTTATGAAGCATTAAAAAGGGGCATCCTTGCTTACTTGGCACAGGTCTACGCTTAAAAATATTGAAGTAGTGTTTCTTTGTCTAGCTGTCTGATAAGGGCCAGGCATATCTTCCTGGCCTGGCCTTAAGACCATGTTGAACATTTACTGGGATATTACATTTCTTAAAAAAAATTCAGCTTACATGTTTTGAAATTCGCTGTCTTGTTTGTCTTTCAGCTGTGGTCTACCCACATCAAGAAGCCAATGGTACTTGTTGGACCTAGTCTTGGATCTGCTGTTGCTATTGACTTTTCTGTTAAATATCCAGAAGCTGTAAGTTCATTCGGTAACTTAGGATCCCTGTTCAGATGTTGTAAATTACTTTCCTGTATGAAGAAGGTATTATTTTATGCTTGCTTCAAGTAGCTTTACTTTATCAGGTTGATAGGCTGGTTTTAATTGATGCAAGTGTTTACGCGGAAGGTACAGGAAACCTTGCAACCTTACCCAAAGCAGTAGCTTATGCTGGGGTGAGTTACCTCCTATTCCTCTTAAAAAAAAAGAGTACATTCTACGCCAGATTGGATGTTTGATGTAACATTACATATATGTTATAATGTGTAGTTTATTAGCAACTTGTTTTCTGATTAGCAAACTCTAAAAGTAAAGAAGAGAAACTTTTGCCATTGTTAATGAGAAATAACCTGCTGCAGGTTTACTTGTTGAAAAGTCTCCCACTTCGCTTATATGCAACTTCATTAGCTTTCAATGGCTTACCATTTAGTACCTGCATAGACTGGACTAATGTAAGTTTGACCCTTTGATCTTTTTAGAAACCTTAAAGTCATGGAGATCAGATATTCAAAATGTGCTTCTGGCATATTTTTATTCTCTTTTGTTTTACACTTCTGATTATCTGGTTTTCTATCCAGATTGGCCGCTTACATTGTTCATTACCTTGGTGGGAGGATGCATTGGTGAATTTCATGATCAGTGGAGGTTACAATGTCATTTCTCAGATAGAACATGTATGTGAAGATTTACTAAATTTTCTCAAGTTATTCCTAAATATACATGCCTTTTGTCACTTTTTTTGGCATAGACTAGTATCAAACAGCATTATCTTGCTCTATTTAATAGGCATTGATTTGATTATGAAAACTACCAATATTGAGTTTGATCTTACTAGTTTCATCTTAACATGCAATTGTTGGAGTCTAAATACAGGAACCTGTGGGCACTGATATTAGTTCTGAAAAATTTGTTTAAATAAGAGAGATGGCATAAAGTGATACACCATAAGTTTAACTGCAAACATCTCTTGGAGTTACAAACCTATTAGCTTTAGACGTCATTAAAATCATTCATGTGGTATGTAGACTACTGTGATCTTGAGACTGATGGATTCAACTTGCTTCTGATTCTGCTGTTACATGGCATTTCTAGCTGTAACTTCATTTTCTATGTTGTCTACTGGTTTCGGTCTTGTCACGATGGAAAATTGTTCAGCATTCTCATGCTAGGACTCCTGCAGGTCAAGCAGAAAACACTGATAATTTGGGGTGAAGATGATCAGATTATTGACAACAAGCTTGCAGTGGTATGTTTCTTTCAAACTTTGGATCACTAAACCTGTTAGCTCCCAGCATTCATATATTTAGTACACGGAGTGCATAACAATGATACTGAAGTGTCCATTGACTTTCATGTCGTCAGAGATTGCATTGTGAACTTCCAAATGCAATTCTACGCCAAATACCAAAATGTGGCCATATCCCTCATGTGGAGAAGCCTGATGCTGTCTCCAGGTTGATAGCGGACTTTGTTCGCCCTGACCAATCACAGAGGGCAAACCCTGACTCAGTCTCCACCATCTCAGTTCCGTCTTGATTACTGGTACTTGTGCAAGCAGATAGTTAGCATATCTCACACGTGAAGATCCAACTTCCTGGTCCTACCTCGTAATGAGGTTAGTTTGCCAGTTATAATGGTGAATATGCTCTCATTCTTTGAGCACCATCAACCTCACTGCATGCATATCGATTGTCAAAGGTGCTTTGGTGCTTTTAACACCAGTAGAGAAGTGTAATTAAACTGAATACTTGAGCAGAGTATTAGCTGAATGCTTTAGTAATTAGGATTCTGGTATATTTTTCTTCCAGCACATGCTAATCTTATTTTATATCAATTACCAGTTACTATGAACTTGTGTGATTTGCTGTTGACATATGTCTTGTTGTGCAACAAAAGTGCAGCATTTGACAAAGTTCAAAAGTAGTTACCAAGTCATTATCCCTTATTATATCATAAAAAAAATACATGCATGTGCAGTGGAGTCACCATCCAAGTAAAACAATTATAAGAAAGTTCTTTTTTAAAGAAACCAAACAAGTTTTTAGTCCAGATTCACTTTACCTTTGCCCTTTTTGCCTGCATAAACCAAACAAGGCCAAAAGTTGTTAATGCTATTTTATACCTAATCGTGGCGTTTTGGCTAGCTTATGTGCAAGACTCTTACACTAGATACATGCTAGCACATGCACTTCAGTATTCTGACCACCAAGATCCAAAATCTTGATCTCTTGTAATTTTTACTCATTACATGGACCATTACATCCCACTTTCTTCATCTCTTTATGATTTTCACTCATTTCATCCACCACTGTATGAAAAAAAATTTGTTTGATTCATTATGTATGATGATTGATAGCAGGCAAAAGGGTGGTAAAGAAAAGAGGAAGGAACCTTGTTTGGTTTATTCCCTTGTGATAAATCAAGATTCCATACACTCTGACAACTAGGATACTTGACCCTGTTTGTGCTTTACTTTAAGTTGGATTTTCAATTATACTTACAGATGTACAGGTGGGGGAACTACAGGAGTTATATTTTAATACAGATATGCACTAAATTTATCAGAGATGGTGAGTAGGGTAGCAAGTACTCATTGATAAAATTTTCTAAAATAAAAAATACATACTTCATGTCATGTCTCTACTTCTCTAGATATACAAAAAGGAAAAATCTAAAAAGAAGAGATCAGATTCTTCTACATTACTGGTACATCATACTACCCCAGAAACAGCCACATCTCCATTTCAAGAAGGAATCTAATTCCAACTTTGTCCACTCATATGTGGAGATAATAAAGAGAACAAGAAGTAAATAACAAAAAAAAAAGATGTCCAAGTGGAAATGTGTCCAGATGATTCTCCCCCCCTGCTGACCATTGAAAAAATGCTACCCATACTTTGTGCCCAAAAGTCCATTATCATCTCATAACCTTTTTTTCTTTCATTCACTGCCTCACATTCAGACTTCCTTTTTTAAATTCTTAAGCATACCATCAAGAAGCTGCTTGTAAACAAAAGTGCCATGGTGATAAAAACTCTGTTTTGATGAAGAGCCTCTGTGCCACTGCCATCTGGGTTGAAGCCACCACTTCCTGTTGGTCCCATCCCAAAAGTTGGGTTGTTAATACCTGTATTAGTTCCTGTGCCTGTGCCTGTGCCTATGCCCGTGCCAGTGCTAGTGCCGGTGCCAATCCCTGGATTTGTTGTGGTTCCTGGTGCATTTGGGGTTGTGGTACCTCCAGTGCTGCTGGTTGAAGTAAAAAAAAACAATATGAGAGGCCAATGTCGCACACCATCCATCCACTAATATAATCCCACAAAATGAGATCCGGGAAGGTAGAATTTACGCAAAGCAGACCTTACCCCTACCTCATAGGTAGAGAGGTTGTTTATGATAGACCCTTGGCTCTAGGAAAGTTAGTCCAAAAAAAGACATAATGGAAATACAAGAAATAACTAATAGTAACAATAGAAACAAAACAAAAGAATATGATAGTCCAAATACACGAAAAAACACATAGTAACAAAAAAGGACAAGAAACTACATGAGCAATACTACACCGTCCATACACAATATTCAATTATTAATTCTACAAGAAAATTCAAAGTCCAACTAAGATGGAACCGCCTCCAACTGGCTTGAGATTGACACTTAGTTAGCACACTATTGTTGTCATTATAGATATACCAGAGTAGGCATGTTACATGAATTATGAGAAATGGTATAAAGGACTTTGGTTCTTATAAAATATTTGTATCATGGTTGGAAAACACATTTCAACTAAAAAGACATCCATCATAACAAATGAGGAAAGTGACAAATAAAACATTAACATACAGATTATATATCAACATCAAGACAGGTCACATGGGGATAAAATATAAATGATGAATCTAACTGATCTTGTGTTTCAAAGTAATTCACACAGTTAGGACACTAAAAATGACTATTGATAGAATTAGGTTAAAAAGAAACAAAAGGAACAGCCAACAACAATCTTTAATCATGTCCTCAGAGAAAAATGTCACTATATTAGGAAAAGCTTTCAACCATTTATTCATACAGTCAAATTTATCTAGCATTAATAATTGCACCTCTTTTATGTCCTTTTTACCTAGATAGATGAATTTTAACTTCCATGTTATTACCAGCCCTGGGGGTAGGTGGATATTTATAATAACATCTTGGGAAAAAAAATCTTTTTCAAGATCAAGAAGTTGAGAGTGATGATCTACAAGGAGAAGCCAACAGGGCAGAAAAAGGGAAACATCACCATTTATTGTCCTAGAGGAAAAAAACAATTTTCTGGATGCAAGTTGAGGAGATGCTACATTCAATATTGGCAAGATAATTACAAGATCTCACATCATAAATAACAAAGCTTTAAGAATACATACCCTCCTGTGGTCTGATAACATGCAGAGCTAGAGGCTGTTGATAAAGCAAAGAAAAAAAATATGAGTGACCATTACTAGGAGAGGGGAAACAGAAAGAGGAGAAAAGTGAGTTGATTCAAGAATTTACAGGCTGGTGGAGTTGAAGTCAAAGAAGCAGTTCCACTGAAGTCACAAGTAGCACCAGTTGAAGCCTTCCTCTGGTAATAGCTATTTACAGCATAGGAGCAGTGATCTTTAATAGTGTTAGGGTTGTAGCAAGGACCATTTTGAAGGATACCAGTACAATCAGCTCCATTTCCACAGGCATAATCTATATTGTGCTGCAGAAGTGTGTCCGCAAAACCATCTTTACACACACAGTAATTAGCACCACCTAGAAAAAAAGACCACCAGAACAAATCAGCTCAAGAAAGAGAAATCATTGATAATGGTCAAGAAAAAAGACTGGATCTTTCGAATAACAAGTTCTTGAATACACCACTAAGAACAACTATTCTGGTTAAACACATGGAAATGCAGAAAAGGTAAAATCTTGAAGTGAAAGAACCGAAAACTCTAATCTTTGATAAGAAATTCTTGGATACACCACTAAGAGCAAACAAAAAGAGAATTTGAAGTAAGAAAGCTAAAAAAAAACTCAATCTTTAAATAAGAAACTGTAAATACACTACTAAGAGCAACATCTAGTAAAAACTCATCACAAGAATAGAAATTGTTAGATACACAGTACAGAGCAAAATCTGATGAAAACCCATGGCAAGAAGATGAAAAAATGCAGGAAAAAGAGAATCTTGAAGTGAGATATCAAAAGAAATAGTTGGATACACAACTAAACATATGAAAAATGCAGAAAACAGAAGAATCTTCAAGTGAAAGTAGCAAAAGCAGCTTACTTGAGTAACCAGTTAAAGCCAAGAGAAGTATTAAAGACAGTACAAAAGCAGCCATGATTGTGCCAAGCTTTAAGAAGTAGATATGAAGATATTAGTATTCCCTGTATAAATCAAGAAGGTAAGTGAAATTCTACTGTAAAGAAGAAAGCAGAAAGATGAGATGTTTAAGGGGAACAGAGAAAGTGTGTCATAGGGATATGGAGCTCTCGAGACAAGAAAAATAGGTGGAAGGTGGAGGCTCTATGTCAATTTTGGGTGGCATTTTATATGTATAAAATCTTATGTTATTACTCTCCGTTCGCTTGTTTAAATATAATTAAAAATTAAAATAAATTCACATAGTTTCCACTATATTTTAAAGAAATATACAACATATATTTGGAATTTTAATCTACTAAATTAAACCCTCAATATTAATATCATCAACATATTATATTAAATATTATTCTTATATATCGTATCGAACAATATTTTTCATTCTAAAATTACTACTATAAAAGAATGGGAGCATGGGGTAATGTGTTTTAGGAAAGTGAGCAGCAAAAGCCAAAGCATTTTGTCATGTATTCGACTGTATGTATATGTACTCTGTACTATGTATGTCAGTGGCTTTGTTTCTCAAACGGTCATAAACTTAACTACATGGTTACTATCTGACTAAACCATGGTTCAAACTTCAAACATGTAAATGTATTTTTATTTTATTTTTTGCTATGACTAGTGAAAAAAGATTTCCTCAAAAATTTCAATAATTTTGTCTCAAAAACTTTATATGTATGTTCCTCTTTAATCATACTCATCAAATTCAAGTTTTGTGTGAAAAAAAGTCTTAAGTCGTTACCAATAAAGAAAGGCCGCATAAATTTAAAATAGTTGATCTTCAATATAGATATTAAGTATCGAATAAAAAAATTTTACGTTCTTATTTTGTGTTTTATGAATTCGAAATAAGTTAAACTTTAATATAAATATCAAATATCGTATAAAATAATTTTACGTTTCTATTTTCGTTATTCTCTAAAATAACTTTAAACTAATATCTTTTTCATATTATAACAAACATTATGTTATAATAATGAAAAAGATATTAAAGACAAATGTTGTTATTATATAAGATATGCATAAAAACTAGAGTTAATACTTTGGATGGTCACAACTATGCACTCTTCTCTCAGAAAGTCACTCAACTTTTAATTTTCGCTCAAAAGTTGCTCAACTATACACTTCTTTCTCAGAAAGTCACTCAACTTTGAATTTTAATTCAAAAGTCACTCAACTATCCACTCTTTCCTCAAAAAGTCACTCAATCTATTAAATTGTTTTTTAATTAAAATTTATTGATATTAATTATTTATATAACAAATTAAAATTTTTGAAATAATAAATTTTACGTATTAAATTTTATATTTATTTTAAAATTATACTGAATATGTTATTTTTACGGACGAAGGTCCCTAGGCTAAACCTTTATAAAACAGAAGGGCCCCCCACAAGGGTTGTGCTGTCACTGTTTAATATAACACTTATGTGTCTCTTGGCATATCAATGGAGGTACTAGAAAATCTTAGAA